TTGTTTAAAATTAAATTGCAGTATTTTCTTTCTGGCTACTGGTATTAGTGACTTAGTGCTTGGAGTCGACATTTTTCTTTCTGCAGGGTATGATGTTTGTACAACCATTGGAAGGGCATCTGGATCCCATATATCTCTAATAGGTAAGAATCATGTATACATCGTACCCAAATATCCTTGCTATGTGAAGCTTACCTAGTTGTTTGTTTTTGCTGAGGGGAAAGCAGATGATGGTAATCCACAAAAGGGTGTCATTGTCAAGATGTTTTCATCAAAGTGTTCTATTTCTGTTTTCATCTTTTGTGATTCAGCTGTAGCCCAAGTGAGTACATTTTTTTTCAGTTAAACTTTCTTTTGTTCTTTAGAGGGCAGGCCTGGCGCAGTGGTGAAGTCCTCCCCACTTGTGCCAAGAGGTCCTGGGTTCGAACCAGCCTCTCTGCATTGCACTTTGCAGGGGTAAGACTAGGTTCCTATAATCCCTCCCCAGACCCCACCTTGTGTGGGAGCTTCTATGCACTGGGTCTGTCCTTTTTCTTTTGTTCTTTCCTCTGTCACTGTTGCATTCTTATTTTGTGCTGTTTTCTCCCCCCCTTCTCTTTTGCAGCTACCGGATAAATTTACCCAATCTGGAAGTTGTGATTACGTGAGTGCGCTATTTTTCCGTCGCAATACTTCTGATATAGCAGATTTCTTTTTCTTTTTTTCTTTTTGTTGGGAATATAGCAGATTTCTTTTTCTTTTTTTCTTTTTGTTGGGAATATATCAGATTTCTTGCAAGGCATTAATAATTTTTTACCTCACAGGTTACGATACTTAGACACCCTTCTGGGTGTGCAAGATCAGTGTCTGATGCTGGAAATGGCTGGGGATGGTTAGGCACTTCGTTCATAACGTATGTTATGTTGAGTTGCATTTAGTTACTAAACTTCACATAGTTGCCAGACTATTGATCAACAATCCTCATGATCGCCCACTGCCAGCAAAGTTTCTCACTGCATATTGAGGTCTGGCTTGACTAATATTTAACTGTTTTGCAGAATTTTGTGCCTTCTTGGAGGGTACATTCTGATTGGTGCAATCTATAGATATTATTTCCTCGGCATTCATTCTGTAGAGGTAAAGCTAGTCTTGCACAAAGTTGTTGGTCTTAGTTTTATGGAATAAATACCACATCCATGTCATGCTAAACTCTGCTCAGTTGTTGTCATGTAGTTTAAACTCTGAACCTTTTGAGGGTATTTTCGGTTTCTCAGCTTTGTTGAAGCTCTGCTTGTCTTTTTTTTTTGGAAAAGGAGGATGACCCCCGGCCTCTGCATCAGTCGATGCATTGAGCCACATTATTAAATAAAAGCGTAACAAAGTCTAGACAAAGAAAATTGAGTCGGAACCAGTCCCAGAGTCGAGATACCAAAATATATCTTAAATTGTACCTGAGCCAAATGTCGAGACTTGAGAGACCAAAATAATTTCAAATGGGTAATGCAAAATCAGGTTGGGAGACCAAAAGTTTAGGTTGGTCTTTTAGGGAGTAGCTTAATTTCAGATATTCGAAAGATACTTTGCAGTACTGAAAATATGGTTTCGTATGGTAATCTCAGTTTCAATCATTTTAGCTTTTGGTGGAGGAAAAAATACAGTACAATTTTCCTTGATATTTCAAAGAACTAAAATTTGAATAAACATATTCACAGAATCACACTTCTTTCTATCACTGTCAAGAAACCACACAATTGTATACAGGGACGATGCAACTTCGTAATGGGCATTTCAAGTTATGATGCTGACAGGTGGTCACACCTGCCACTTCCATTGACATCCTTAGACGAAAAAATAATTGTAGTTTTGTGAAACTACTTACAAGTGTAATTTTTGAATGGTTTGCCGAGAAAAATGAGATTCTAAAAGTTAGTCCTGCGGTTAGGAGCAATACATTTCCCTTATTTTTCTGGATCTCTGAAGAATTACATAAGAAATAGTTACCACAGTAAAATAAACTAAGAAAGTTGATGTCATAAAAATATGTATAAAGAGACTGCATCAAATCCATATCAAAAGATAACTGACTCATAGTGTGTCCTGTGAAATTACACCATAGTTGCAATTACACCATAGCATCAAAAGATAACTTTGCGATGATATGTGAACTGTTTCTCTACGTGAAACATAAAAAATTACAGATTATTGTCATATATTGCAATTTATTAACCATTTTAATGCTCTTAAACCACATTCCTGTCTTATTTGATGTATTGTAGGCCATTCCGAACCTGGAATTTTGGATCAGTTTGCCACAGAGAATTAAGGTAAAGTCAAATAAATGTGTATTCTAATAGAACATGGTGATGTGTATGTGTTCTTTTGATCTGTACTGCTGTTTATCTCCAGACAAACCAGAATTAATGATACATAGTTTAGATCATTTCAAGGTGAGGATAATGTGCAGTTACTGATGCATGGAAACAAGTTTCATCGCTAACAAGTACTCTGTATCTGACATACGTCTGCATTATTTTAAATTCTTTAATTATCTGTCATTCCCAGTATAAGCCACAATCTTGCTTTCTCTGAAAGGGGAAATGGTGTTTATACAGTTTACATAATCTCCCCCATTGAAAAGCTTCAGAGTTATTACTGTGATAGGATGTTTTTTTAATGGCCACTGTGATAGGATGTTCTTTTTTAACGGTCACTGTGATAGGATGATAGCAGCAAATGTAATCTTATGGTATGTTATCTGTCCAGAGCATGTTTGTTCGTTCAAGAAGAAACCCAAGAAGTCAGAGCAGAGATACTAGAGGACCATACACCACTATAAACCACTGAGAAGTAGAAAAATCCAATACAAGTATTGACAGTCACACAGTGAACAAGCATTCAGAGGCCGGGGGTATTCCTCCTTTTCAAAAAAAATACAGTGAACAAGCATATGTGGATTGGGGTGAAAGCAAAACCTTTGATCTCTGCCCATATGCCAGGTATCATCAATGAATCATGTTTCTTTGTCCTTGTATTTAGTGGTGGAGTATCTGAATGAGCTAGTAATGGAGATAAGTGACCCAGTGATCATAATTAAGCCCAGTAGGTCCTTACACTACCTGCAGTGCTCACTTTTTCTCTTCCGGGCAGGGGGGGTGGGGGACTTTCATATATGTACAATAGTGATGCTCGGCTATTTATTCACATGGAAATGCGGAATATTCAGATTTGGTTCAATGCCAAGTGTTTATGACCATAATATGATTATGCTGGCTTTCCTCTCATTCAGTTTTTGTGGCCCTTGTATTTAGGATTCTTTTTCCAAAATTGGTATTTTCTTCAAATTGTTCTTCCTGCGATAAATTTAACTGAAATTCGGATGTGATTACTAAAAAAATTCTATATGTCACCATGCAAGTAATACCCAGATCAAATGTGATCAGCTGTATATCCTGATTTTTTTCAACGCTGTACATCCATATGAAACTGTGTGAAGTCGGCTGGCGTGTAACAACAGTTGTGATTGATGTTGTCTGATCACACAGGCCAAAGAATGCAGTTGATCCTATGATCTGCATCATATGATTGTCCTGTTTAAAGGAATTTGTAGGATTCTGATGCATCACAGTTAGTTTGTGAGTACTGTAGACAACATGATGCTTTATGCATTTGTCATTTTCAGAATATGAACCTGCCACAGGATAGTTTCTGAGCTGCAGTAGCCACGTGCTGCTCCTGGGCTCTGTTGCAGATGACTAGTGGTTTGGCTACAATTTTTTAACAGATCCCCCTTTTACGGATTCATGGAATTTCCATGGTCACTTGGCGTTCCCTTGTCTGTTCTGTGCTGCTTTTGTCCTTGGCAAATCAGATTCTGCGGACTTGAGGCCTTGTGGGCATTGGAGGCTTCATTTTCTAAAGCACGGATGTAATGCGATCTGCGATGTTGTTGATCTGAATTTATGTACTGCCACAAAGATATTGATATGTGTTGATGTTTGGATCATGAAGCCTATAGAAGCTTTTGATGACAATAGTTTGTGCTGCCGAATATTCTGTTCATGATGCTGTAGACTGCACGAATTATCAGGATGGCAGAAGAGTCATGGGCTCGAATCGGAAAGTATATGCTTCCTGTGTTCTGTAAGTATAGGAGCTGACATTGTTCTGAATATTTGCTGATGACTGCTTCTTCGTTATTTTGCTATTTCATCATCGAGTAGTAAGCTTGCAGTTTTTTCATCTGCTCTTGTTTGGGGAGAATGACTATTGCGTGAACTACCGACAACTGTATCTCCTCTTTCGAGCCAGCAAATACTAATAAATAAAACAAAAGTGGATCTGGGTTGTGTGTGGGATCGTATCAGTATCCAAGCAAGTTGCTCATATTCTTTTATGAAAAATTTGCTACCGTGGCCACCGCGTCACTCTTATTTGTACTATTTTCTAGTATAAGATGAAACGATCCCGGAGCAACAGATTTATACGGCCCCTGCAAAACTTGGTCCGCCCTTCTCAAGTTCGATCCATTAACAAAATTTCAGCCACCTGGCACATAGACCGCCTCAATTTGCGCTCTTTGACCTGCGGATCCTCGTGTTGGACTTGTCTTCCTAGGCCCAAACTCTTTTCCTTCCAAGCACAATCCGAACTTAATTTGGAGAGCTCGGACAGTTAGGTCACAGATTCAGTGACAGCCGGACAATTCAACTTCCACTAGAGAACATGGCAAATCGGGGTTATAAACAACCACGTAACGTGTACAATTCCTATTACTGTAGATCAGAGATTGATCTCTAGAATATCCCTCCCCTGGACATAAAAGGCAACTCTCCTTGCTCATAGAACGAATAATTATTAACCAGGGAATTAAGGAAGTTCATTGACGACGACACAAGAAAGAAAGGAGGCAAAAAAGACAGAATTTGCCTCTTGGAAACCTGAAAGAGAGAGAGACGAGCAGAGAAAAGAGAGAAACTTGGGGAAGAAACCGCGACAGGAGGCGAGAGAGGAGGCCCAAGAGGATGCGTGGAGATGGACTTGACCACCGGGGCGCCACCAACGCCTCCTCCCCCTCCCCCTCCCCTCCGTCTAAATGGCGACATCTCCTCCAAATCTCGCCTCCTCCCCTTCATTATTCCTCCACCCTCGCCCCCTCCCCATCCCCCACCCCGTTCCCGCTCAAAACCCTAACCCTAGCGGCGCCCCTCGCCATGGCCGCCGACTACCGCACACCCGACAGGCTCCTCCCCGCCGCCGCCGCCGAGGGGCCGGCCCAGGACCCGCCCAAACCGGCCCTCGGCGTCGCGGGGCCGGCCGCCGCCGCGACCCACGACGGCCTGCGCTTCTGGCAGTACATGCTCGCCGGCTCCGTCGCCGGCGTCGTCGAGCACACGGCCATGTTCCCGGTCGACACCCTCAAGACGCACATGCAGGCCGCCTCGCCGCCCTGCCGCCCCACCCTCTCGCTGGGGGCCGCGCTGCGGGCCGCCGTCGCCGGGGAGGGCGGCGCGCTCGCGCTCTACCGCGGCCTCCCCGCCATGGCCCTCGGGGCCGGCCCCGCCCACGCCGTCTACTTCTCCGTCTACGAGTTCGCCAAGTCGCGCCTCTCGGACCGTTTCGGCCCCAACAACCCCGCGGCCCACGCCTCCTCGGGGGTGCTCGCCACCATCGCCAGCGATGCGGTCTTCACCCCCATGGACACCGTCAAGCAGCGGCTGCAGCTCACGAGCAGCCCCTACACCGGCGTCGCGCACTGCGTCCGCACCGTGTTCCGCGACGAGGGCCTAAGGGCCCTCTTCGTGTCGTACCGGACCACGGTGCTCATGAACGCGCCATACACCGCCGTCCACTTCTCCACCTACGAGGCGGCCAAGCGTGTGCTCGGGGACATGGCAGCTGACGAGGAGTCCCTTGCCGTGCACGCCACTGCGGGTGCTGCCGCCGGTGCTCTAGCAGCCGCGTTGACCACACCGCTCGACGTTGTCAAGACGCAGCTGCAGTGCCAGGTGAGGATCTTGCACATTTGGTTTGGCCGTCACCTTTAATGACACATAGTAGAATATCATTGGAGCTGGTCTGAGTCGATTTGTGCGGCTTGCTCAGCAAATGGAGAAATTTTATGCTTGTGCTGGTGTTTCTGTTCACCTCCAAGATTCTTGGAATGACTTTTTACAGTTAATTTTTTTATTTTCCAGTGGCCCTGTGATCTGTTAGTGACTTATTGCTGATCACTGTCCTTATAGGGTGCTCTGTACCATTAATGTTGAAGAGCTAGTGATACAAGGGGCATCTTTTTGGTTGCGCTAAGTGCTTACTGTCTTACTGACCAGTGAGATATAGATATGCTAAACTTGGGCCTTTTCTGAAGCTGCAACCTTTTCACCTATGGAACATTAATTGTGTCGTGGCGCTTTCTGCTAGGAAGAATCAAAACAAATTACTATAAGACTCAAGGTGCAAGTTTTAGGCCTCCTTACCCTGGTTGAAATGACATCAACAGTCAACAGCCGACCTTACAAGGTTTTGATGGAAATGTTGATGAGAAGTTACAAATGATTGTTTATCACATTAATGACACTGTAGTTGTAACTTGGAACATTAGTGCTAATAACATCTCAATATCCTCAGCTCCTTGCTATCATTTATAGTACTTCTGTTTGACATGACACACCAATTGTCTTACGCGTACTTATGTGGCTTGTTGATCCGTTGTCATTATCGATCCATCACTGGTAGTTCAGCTCATTGAACTTTTATCTTTATTAATCTTATATGATGAGTCGTGACTATCCCTAGCTCAGTTAATTGAAAAACATGTTTTTCTTATGTGCTACATACACAACATGGAGATTGTCAGCAATCTCTTGGTCTTTAGGCAGAAGGGCTTGTATATTTCCTTTCTGTGTGTCCATCTATGGGTCCCTTTGTTACTAAATGTGAACCTCGGCGTTCTACATGGATTCTGTCAGCCAACACACAACAGAGAGAAACACACACAATAGACGATAAGGGAAGATGCAAGTTATGGCCACCTTGAAATATTCCCTAAAACCTATAGAGTAATTGGCTACCATGAAAATCTGGTGTGTGTGTGTTGCATGTGTTGTTTAGTTATCGACTTGTATAGTGTAGGCCATTTGGTACAATCATACAATAACATGGATTAAAGATCAAGTCGCATATACTTTCTTAACTATATTTGCCAGTTAGTGTTGTTACCTGTAGGCTGTAGCTATCCCTTCTTATGTGTGGTCTAGCTAACAGTTGCTTATATCATGGTTCCATAAGTTGTGCATGTTATCATCTTTCTATTGTCCTCGCACATTTTCAACTCTGGATAACTTGTTCATTTTTGTTTTTACATGAATATCATCCACCTGTTTTTTACTTTCAATGTAATAACTGTGTTCTCTTTTTGTCTGTGGTCAGGGTGTATGCGGCTGTGAACGCTTTGCTAGTAGCTCTATAGGAGACGTGTTTAGAACGATTATAAAGCGTGATGGATACGTTGGGCTCATGAGGGGATGGAAGCCGAGAATGCTGTTCCACGCACCAGCAGCTGCCATCTGCTGGTCCACATACGAAGCCTCGAAGTCGTTCTTTGAAAGATTTAATGAGAAAAGGAGAAAATAGTTGGAGCATTTCTTGGAAGTGATAGTGTTTTTCTGGAAGCCAAGTGCTTCCTCGCTGTGGCGTGTCCTCGGCTGATGAAAGAGGCAGCGCCTAAGATACAGTTGTGTGCAGCAGAGGATCCATTTGGATGATGCGCCGTGCATCGAAATTTGTCTAACGATGATCTGTCTGTACGTTGTATTTCTTTTCTTTTTGGCTGAGTTATATGTATCATTTTTCCAGCCCGTGGTCGGGAAAGCAAATACCAGAATAATTTTGCCCTAGTTTTTCAGGATCATTGAGCATACTGTATGGCCTTCTTTGTGTCAGATTATTGATAAAGTGAAATGAGATTTTGGTTCTGTTACCATTCCTGCTTCTTTTGTTCCCGTCACCATATGTTGTGCAGAACTCTGCGTGCAGTATATTTTATCGGGGACGCCCGGCTGGGTGTAAAGGTCTGGAATAAGATGTAGTATAAATTTGTTGAGCATTTCTCTCATCCAAGCACCAGTGGTCTAGTGGTAGAATAGTACCCTGCCACGGTACAGACCCGGGTTCGATTCCCGGCTGGTGCAATGTTTTTGTTTTCGTTTTGTATCATCTCTTGTGGACGGCGATGCCCAAATCAGAACACCTCCTTCCCAAAACTCCTGTTTGGCATTGTGTGTTTTCCAGTCCATTTTTCTATTTTTACGTCATGTGCTCGCTGTATTTTCTGTTTTTTTTTGCGGTGTATATTTTCTGTTTATTTGTTCACATAGTCATCACTGTAATGTGTGATCTTGCCACAATCTCTTTTATCGAAATTTCAGGAAATAAAAGTCAACGAGTACCAGCTCATATCCACATGGGATTGGATTATGGACATGTATATGCATGTTCCTACAAAGAGTGGTGATGGTGGCGGAGCAGGTTAAGGGCATCTCCAGCCGTTCGGCCCCCCAGGGCGCCTAAATAGAGCGGCCTGGGGGCGTGCCGGCGCTAGTTCGGCCCCTGGGGGCGACCTAGCTCCCAGTCACGCCCCCACGCGTCGGCCCCGGGATGCGGAAAATTTAAACTTGGTCGTTTCTGCTCTCAAAAGACGCCGCAAATCCGAAGATCGGACGTAGTCTGGCGTTACAAAAAACAAAGCGTCGTCGCCGCAAGTTCGCGTGCTCAACGATTCACTCGGCGGGGTTGGCTCCAGGCGTTGGCAGAGTCGGCGTGCGCGGGCTCGTCGGTGTCGGAGCTGCTTCGGTGCTGGGCTGCGTCGGCGCGGCTTCGGCACTGCTGGGCGGCGATGTAGAGGCGTCGTTCGGGCTTGGCGTCCGTGTAGTCATGGGCGTCGTCGGCGTTGCCGTCGGCAGCTCGTTCAGGATGAGGCCGCGCTGCACCAGGTACCACGCCTTGAGCTTCTCGTTGTTGCTCTGGAGCATGTCCGCCCCGCCCATCAGAAAAGCCATGTCGGTGTTCCTCTTCTTCGCGGCGACGTTCGTCCGGAGCAGGTCGAGCTTGATGGCGTTGTTCTTCATTAGCGACGACCACCGCGCCTCGGTCTTCTCTTCGCGTAGGACGGCCCGGGCCTGGCGTCGGCGAGGCAATACTCGATGGACTCCTGCACTCGCGCGGTTGCCGCGTCGGCGCTTTTCCCCTTCTTTGCCAATTTGTGGCCGTCCGGCCGCCCCTCTGACGCGCCCGGAGTCGTCGCGTCCGGTTTGTATGTCTCCTTGGCCTTGTCGAGGGCACGTCGGACTTCCGTCCACTTCTCGCACTTGTCAATGCACTTGTGGACGTGGGCGTGCGCGTAGCGGGGTGACCATGAGGGAAGGTCACGTTTGGGTTGAACCCACCGTGCGCGTCGCCGTCGGCGTAGCCGGGCGACGATGAACCCCATGAAGATCCGGCACCTTGCTGTCCCCAGGGCGCGTACTGGGCGTGGCTGACGACGGGTGGATTCATCCCCGCCTGGTCGACCGATGAGGAAGACGCCGCCGCGCGCGCCGCGTTGTCGCGGGCCTTCTTGGCTATGGACCTGTTCCGCCTGTCGGCGGTGACTGCTTCGCGCCGCTGAACTTCCACCATCCACTCGGCGTTCGACAGGCCCGATGGCTTCGATGGCGGCGCCCTCGGCTTCCTCTGCTTCGGCTGGGCCACGGCACCAGTCGCGGTTGCCGCCGCGCGCGGCATGGCGTACTTCTTCGGCGGCATGGCGTACTTCTTCGCGGCGAGCGGGAGGGGGTTTGGCGGGAGAAAGGGAGAGAATGGCGGGAGGAAGGCGAGCGAGCGGGAGAGATGCGAGGGAAAAGCGTCAAGAAACGGCGGGAAAAGGCCCTCGGGCCGCCTCCAGGGCGGGCCCACGCGCCTTTTTCGCTTGTGCCGGCTCCCCAAGCGCCCCCAGAGCGCCGGGTTCGGCCTGGGTCCGCCGGCACCAGTTTTGACCCGAGCCGACGAAAAACGGGCTTCTGGAAACGCGACTGGGGCCTTTTTTTGGCGCCGGCGCGATAAAATCGCCTCGGGAGGGCCTGTTGGGGGCGCGGCTGGAGATGCCCTAAGCCGTACCTTGTTCCCGGCAAAACAAGAAACTCCTCGGAGATTCCAGTGGTCAAACAGAGGCAATTTCTCGTGAAACTATGAATGTTGCAATACGTCCAACAGACGAGGTACTACGTGCGCTAGCGGCAACTAATCGCGTCAAACGACGCGTTTCCTTGGTCCAGTGAACAACTCACGGTCGTCCCGACTTTCTTGTCTAACTCCCTTTTACTAATCACACGATAAGATCAGGTCACAAACATATTTTCATATAGTTTCAGTGCCGTACCCGTACTGTATGTATATATGCAAAAGTAAACTTGAAGGACACACACAAGAAGCAGAAAATCAAGGAGCCATGTACGCGACCAAGCCGCTCTCTCTCTTCATGAGCCACCCGGAGGCGGCTTCCTGGCCGCCGCCCGACGGCCGGAACTCGGGCTACCTCGTCGTCAAGGGCGACGACGACGGGGACGACGACGAGACGTGCTGCTGGGGGCAGTGCGGCGGGACGCGCGTGCGCGACCTCCCGTTCCCGCAGAACCGCGTGCTCACGCTCCGCTACACGGAGCACCACGGGCAGAGCAGCACCACCTACACCGACTCCGTCGTCTTCGTGCCCGTCCCCGACCAGCCCGTCGCCTCCAACCGCTACTACGCCGTCGTCGCCTCGGGCAAGCGCAAGGGGCTCGTCCGGGCCTGCTCCCGCGAGGAGGACATGACCCCGTGCTGCTTCTGCCGCTGCATCAACGACGTCAAGCCGCAGCCGTTCGATCCGGCCGACCTCTACCAGAAGATCGAGATCGTCCAGCGCCGCCGCGGCAGGTTCACGGCCAAGGCCGTCGCCGCCGACGGCTTCCCCAACTACCTCTACCGCAAGAAGTATTGGCGCGTGTACGCCTCCAAGCCCACCAAGAACCACCTCGACCTCGGCGACGCGCCGGGCCTCAACGTGGCGCTCCGGTCGCGCCAGCTCGCCGACGCGAGCCTCCTCGACGCCTTCCCCGCGGCGACGGCGGTGTCGACGGCTGTCGGAAAATGGTACTGCCCGTTCTATCTCATCAAAGAAGATGGCATGTCCCCGTCCGAGCAGATGGACCGTGCCGCCTTCTACGAGGTGGCGCTCGAGCAGCGCTGGGAGCCGGTCCACGACACCCACAGCGGCTCTAAGCTCTACAGCAGGAAGGTGTTCATCGGCGGCAGCCTGGAGGCGAGGCAGGAGGTGTCCAGCGGCGCCTCGCGGCACGGTGACGGGTACGTGTGGTTCAGAGCCGTGGCCGGGCAGAGTGTGGGGGTGTGCGCGAGCGTGTGGGAGAGGATGCGGTGGGAGGAGTACAGGGGCGGGTGGGTCGACGAGGAGGAGGAGGCCGAGAAGGTGGCCGGCCGGTCGGTGCTGGTGGAGAGGTTCGTCGTCAAGAGGATGGACAGGACCGTCGTGGTGGCCTTTGACTTTGTGCATCTCAACAAGGTCAGGGGGAAGCAGGCGTGAGACATCACAGCAGACTGTACACCCGTCACGGAATCTTCAGTAGTACTCCCTCCGTTGTAAGATAAATGTCCCAACCATAGTATAACTTTATACTAGAGTTAATATAAAGTTGAGGCAATTATTTTAGGACGAAGGAGAGTGTTTTGGTGTAGCTTGGCAAATAAAATTGTGAGATGCTAATGATAAGGGATGAAGGATTTTGCTGCTCGTCGCATTTTCTGCTTCCTTTTGTTGGAGAATTATTTGTATTTGTATGTAAATTAAGATTTGTGTACCTATTTATTACAACATAATTTGAGCAATGCTTCACCAACTCCACGACCTATTATGGTATGAGATGTTGCAAACCCATGACTCCCAGATCTATTGGCCACTAACAAGTAGAAGATTCGCTCAACTGAAAAACTAAGGTAATCAATCCGTGAAGTTCTTCACGAGTCCAATGATAGCTTGTCTTGCTTGTTGCTATGTGTATAGTGTAACAACCAGTTTTTTTTCCGCGGGTAACGTAACAACCAGTTGACCTCTTGGTGTAAGAGTTTGTAGCAAGCGCTAATTGTTTCATAGTGAGAAACCAAGATATCAATCCATAGAGATACAAGATTTTCACACCAATGATAAGTTCTACAACACAAATAAAATTTGTGCCCCAACGATACCAACAAGGGTGTCAACTTTACTAGTCTTGCTAGTAGTTCGATGACAAGATAATTAAAAAGTTAATGTGGCAGCAGATAATATTTTATATTTAAAAAAGATATCTGGAAATAAAAATGAGTATACAAGTTGTTGGAAGTTAATTCTTATGCTAAAAAGTGGACCAAGTTTATAGGTTCATCAAGTGTAACTCTCGAATACATAAAAATGTGGCAAGTAACATAGTAATGTGATTTTTTTTAAATGAAATATCTCATGCTCATGCTAGACTACTATAGGTAATAATCGGCTTCAAGGCCAATACACTTTTTGCACCTATCAAGCATTAAGTGTAAACACAAATAATTTCTTTACACATGATGCCATGCTATTGTTTGCATGATTTTATTAGATGCATATCCTTAATGGTTATAATGCAATGCAAGACTTTGCCACTTTTTTCATTACAATAGTTTACCTCGAAGATTAAACCCAGCTAATGCACTCCTTTTCCCACCACTAATTACCCATCTAAACTAGCAAAGAGTAGACAAATAACAGGAGAAACTATGCATACATAAATCAAACATAGGTCATCCATATGATCTGAACATAAAAAAATAGCATAGGTCATTCATGTGATCTGAACATAAAAGGCAATTCATCACATGATCAACATCACAATAAGGGTTTACATCTGATTAACCATAATCATGCACAAAAACTTGAATGACTATTGTATTGATCTACAAAGGCGAGAGATTGCATCTTAGCTAATGACATGAACCCATAGTCCAGCCTACTCACAACTCATCTCCGAGAGACGAGGAACAACGTTGATGAAGATGAATTGTCTTTTATGTTCAGGGGGTATCAGAGCCGAAAACGAAGATTGCCTTCAAAGCGAAGTGGTGGGGGCGAAAAAAATCGATAAATGTGATGAAGGTCAGGGGGTATATTAGCCTCCAGGATAGAGGGGGCACCGGGAGTGCCTAGGGTGTGTAGGCACCTACACAAGCCGTCTAGGAGTTGCGGGGCTGATGACCTACAAGTGCACATGACTATTGCAATTCATGATAAGTACAGTTTGTCAATCCCACATGGAACATGCACAAACAACTACCAACCTCGCAACTACATTGTCGCGGATGCAGCTACATTCACACCTGGACCGTATTATGGAAATAGCCTATTCTATCGGTTGCAAACAGAATAATAAGAATGGGTGTTTTTTATCGAAACTACTAACCAAAGTTAAAATGATAAATAAAACTAGAATAAAATAAATGGCGACGCTTGGGTAATCGAGAGTTCTCAGGGGGTTTAGAGTCCTTACTACTAGTACGATCTACGTAACATATGGATAGACATAGTCCTAGATTTGTATACTTAAGCCACTCTTAAGGTTTCTCTTCATGGACGGAGCCTAGTACAATATATGGTGTTACGTGTAGTCTCTCGTACCACACACGCCACTACCATTCCTCCCCACGCATGTTACATAAACAATGATTAAGGGTATCCCCTTGGATGGGGCCAATGGGTGGTCTTCGTTATTCCCCTATAAAGTGATTAGAGAAGGAAGGGAGGTATTACTATCACCTCTTTACCTCCACTTTCAACCGTCACATGAATTTCGGCGTGGTTTGAAGGAGGGAGGTAGCTTCTATCACCATGAACATCCTCTTTGTCAGTGTCAAAACCAGGACCGGGGCCTCTCTACGGAGGTAAAACCCTATGTCCTTCTCTTGCTTATATTATGAGAGTATCAAGGTACAGAGTTGATCTACCACGAGATCGTGAGTTGTGGTTTAAACCCTAGGGGTATGATGATGAATGTATGTATGGATCCTCTGCGGACTAAACCCTCTGGTTTATATAGGCACCAGGGGTGTCTAGGGTTACGCATGGTCAGTTTCCATTTAAGGATTCCATGATGAATCTAATTTTATATACTTGAAGTACATGCCAAGTCTTCGCCTAGACAAACTGAAGGCCTCCGAAGTCCTTCCTCCTTAATGGGTTGGTGGTCCGGTCCATGTATCAGACCAGCCGGGCTAGGACCCCCTAGTCCAGGACACCGTCACTCTCTGATACATCTCCAACGTATCTATAATTTTTTATTGTTCCATGTTGTTATATTATCATTCTTGGATGTTTTACAATAATTTTATATCATTTTTTGGTACTAACCTATTGACATAGTCCCAATGCTAGTTGTTGTTTTCTTGTTTTTTACATCGCAGGAAATCAATACCAAACGGAGTCCAAACACAGTGAAACTTTTTGTGGATTTTTTCTGGACCAGAAGACACAAGATGGGCCGAAGAAGTACCAGAGGTGTGCCCCGAGGGGGGCACAACCCACCAGGGCACGCTTGGGGGCCCAAACACGCCCAGGTGGGTTATGCCCACCTCAGTGGCCTCCTGCACCGCCTCTTTGCTCTATAAATACCCCAATATTCCAGAAATCGTAGGGCAGTCGATGAAAATCAATTCCAACTGCCGCAAGTTCCAGAAACACCAGATCCAATCTAGACACGATCACAAAGGGGTTCATCATGTCCATTGGTGCCTCTCCGATGATGCGTGAGTAGTTCATTGTAGACCTACGGGTCCTTAGTTAGTAGCTAGATGGCTTCCTCTCTCTCTCTCTCTCTCTCTCTCTCTTGATTCTCAATACAGTGGTCTCTTGGAGATCCATATGATGTAAGTCTTTTTGCGGTGTGTTTGTTGGGATCCGATGAACTTTGAGTTTATGATCAGATCTATGTTTTTATCCATGAAAGTTATTTGAGTCTTCTTTGATCTCATATATGCATGATTGCTTATAGCTTCGTATTTCTTCTCTGATATTTGGGTTTTGTTTGGCCAACTTGATCTATTTATCTTGCAATGGAAAGAGGTGCTTTGTGATGGGTTCAATCTTACGGTGCTTGATCCCAGTGACAGAAGGGGAAATGACACATATGTATCGTTGATATTAAGGAGATGGGGTCTATTTCTACATAAACAGATCTTGTCTACATCATGTCATCGTTCTTATTGCATCACTCCGTTTTTCCATGAACTTAGTACACTAGATGCATGCTGGATAGCGGTCGATGTGTGGAGTAATAGTAGTAGATGCAGGCAGGAGTCGGTCTACTAATCTTGGACGTGATGCCTATATAATGATCATTGCCTGGATATCGTCATGATTATTTGAAGTTCTATCAATTGCCCAACAGTAATTGTTTTCCCACCGTTTGCTATTTTTCTCGAGAGAAGCCACTAGTGAAACCTACGGCCGTCGAGTCTTTTCTTATCATATTTGCCTTCGCGATCTACTTTTATTTGCTTTTATTTTCAGATCTATTTAACCAAAAATACAAAAATACTTTGCTGCACTTTATTTTATTTGTGATCTATTTATCCAATCTATTACAACTTTCTCCCGTCTCCGTGCTTTCTGGCGTCGTTACCCGAAAGGGATTGACAACCCCTTTAACACGCCGGGTTGCGAGTATTTGTTATTTATGTGCAGAGTTGTTTATGTTGTGCTGCGTGGTTCTCCTACTGGTTCGATAACCTTGGTCTCATCACTGAGGGAAATACCTACCGTTGCATCATCCCTTCCTCTTTGGGGAAATACCGACATAGTTTAAGCCAACATCAAAAGGAATTTCTGGCGCTGTTGCCGGGGAAGATCAAGTCAAGATAGTCTCCCGACAACTCGCCAATTTCTGACGCCGTTGCCGGGGAGACATCATCAACATCAACGAGGTTCCTAATCAAAAATCTCATCTTCTTGCAATTTACATTATTTGCCATTTGCCTCTCGTTTTCCTCTCCCCCACTTCACAAAAATTTGTCATTTTATTCGCCCTCTTTTTTGTTCGCCTTTTTCTCATTAGATCTCTTGTTTGCTAGCGCTACTTGTGTTACCATGTGCCTTCTATTTGCTTGCATCTTCGCTTGCTAAAAATCTATTGACATGGATCCTCATCCACTTGCTAATCTTTTCAAAATATCCAATTATGATGAACAAATTGCTAGTGAATTGAGTTCACTAGATTATCTTTTTATGAAGTTTCGCTTGAGATTTATGAATCTGAAAATTGTGATGAAGTGTTAAACGAAGGAACTTATAAAGTGATTCATGATAGCTCCTTGAAATAAAAGCATTTTTGCAATGATTTTATTATAAATTCTATTAATGTCAATTGTGTTAGTGATATACAAAACCCCAAGCTTGGGGATGCTTCTTATGTTATGTCCACTACTTATTGCAATGATCATGATTGGGGTGATAATGATTCTTATGATCTTGAAAATTTATTTGAGCCTCATGAT